CGTCTCTGCTAGCGGAGAGTCCCCAGGCCCCTCCGAGAGCTGCAGCTCTGACAGGGGGGTGCACTAGCCCCTTCTTAGTCCCAGAAATCTAGGAAGCAGCCCGTGGGTTGTCCTGAGCTGGTCACATGCCAGTGTCCCATGGCATTCATTCTCAGGACAGAAGGACCTTCACGTTTATCTAGTCCAACCTATTGTTACTATTATTAGTAGAATTTTTTTGCTATAGGGAGTGTGCACTCGCCAGAGAGAGAGACAGAGAGAGGGAAAGTGAGAAATGACCCCTGGAGGGATGGCCACACTGCAATCCCTTCTCCTCCATTCTTCTCCTGGGACTTTGGGCACGCATACGCATGTGCCCAGCGTGTGTTCCCCAAGCTGCCAGGTCTAGGGCTTGAAGTGCGCAGCTGGCCATGGGGGATCGAGCTGCCTTAGCCACCATGCCACCAGTTGGCCTAGCTTCGGCCTATTCTTAAGCCCCCCTCAATGTCCTCTCTGCCGCAGGCTCGTACATGCACGGCTTGCACCATTCCAGTAATGGGAGCTCATTACTGTCAAGGAAGCCCCTTCCACCTTTGCCCAGATTGGCATTTTCCCCATTCCTCAAGGCTTGGATCAAAGCCCCTTTCCTCCAGGAAACCTTCCCTCACTCTCAAGCCACAGAGGCCAAGCTGCTTCTGTTCTTCAAATGGGAGAGCAGAGCGGTCCCCATCCAGCTCCCAGGATAGCCATGGGCACCCAGATGAGCCGGGAGGGAAGAGACTCAGAGAGCTTCACGGTGTCCTTTGGACTTGCTGCTGCTATTGGATCCTCACAACGCCCTGGGGAGGGGGGGTGATGGATCCCCATCTTGCAGACGAAGGAATTGACACTGGAAATGAGAAAGCAGCTGCTCAAAGTCGCCTAGTGAGCTGGTTCACGGCAGGGCTGTGACCACCTAGTCCTCTGGCTTGAGCTGGCTGTGCCCGGTATTCCACACACGGAAGCTCCCTGGGACCACCGACCTTGCCATGACTGGCTCGTGGGCCCTGGCAACCGGCTCAGTCCCAGTCACCGCGCCAGCCCCTGAGCTAGGCCAGGCCCTGTACAGGGGAAGGGCAGCTGTGCGGAGGGGTGTGGCCAGGGCCTGCCAGCAAACAGCCTGGGCATCTGGCTGCCCAACTGCCAGCACAGCTCAGTTCTCCTCCTCGCTGGGGGCTGTACCAAGTGACAGTCCAACATCGTGAGCAAGTTGAGCACTTAGCCAGCATTGGGGACCATGTTGGGCTCTAGGCCAGACACTTTACATACCATTATCTCATTCCTTTTGAGTTTTTGTGACAGCCTCCTGAGAAGGCACTTCTGTTAAATGCTTCCTCATTCAGCAGACGAGGAAACTGGGGATTGAGAAGGCGAGACTCTCAATAGAGGTTGCACAGCTCCTGTGAGGCTGGGATTCAATCCCACATCCTCTGAGTGTTAGAATTTGGGGCTGTTAGGATTCCAGACAGAAGGACTGGGCTGAGGAGCTGGGCACTTCTCATCAGGACGTTGGCACTTGTCGCCGGGCAGCAAGGCCTCACCTGGTGGAGAGGGGCCTGTGGTGTCCGAAGCAGACAACGCGGCCCGGGTTCAGATCAGGCCTCTACCCTTCTACGCTAAGGGCCCTGGGAAAGTGACTTCTCTCTGGCCACTGCTACTCCTCTAGGAAATGGGATCAACACTAACCTCTCCTAGGGTTGCGCGAAGCACAGACGAGCTATGGCTTGAGAGCTATGGCTTGAGAGCGTGTGGCTCCTTCCTGGGCCTGCATCGTCAGCACCCTTCCCATCCTAGTTAGCTATTTGATTATTGTCACCACCGCCCAAGAGTTCTGGAGGTTTGAGACAAGAAGAAAATGTAGAAGTAAAAAAGGATTCGGATTCTTTGGGAGAGTGGACTCAGGGCAAGGGCCTCTCTCTCTGTTGTCCACACCCCAGGGGTACAGAGCTTCATCTGCCTGCAGAGTCGGGGAGATCAGGTCCTGGTGGGATTTGAGCTTCCTGGGGAAGTGGGAGGGGGTAAGCGAGTGGGAAGTCTCAGTTCTAGCTCATCTTGGGGCACCGAGTCTCAGACTTGGCATAGGGATTAACATCCACCCACGTGCGCCCTGCCTTTGCCACGCCATCCTCCCCACCAGCCTCACTCCTCCCACTTCTACCCCAACCGCCGACCCCTCCATCTCCTGCCACCAGCGGCCCCTTTCCCCCAGCTCGGAGCCAGGTCCCCTCTGCTACCTGGCTGCACGACCTGAGGCAAGGACCAAGTCCCTTGGGCCCTCTTTGGCGGTATGAATTTCAGCCCGAAGGGATGCCAGCTCGATGGAAGGGCACAGACACACGCCTGGGGGAACAAAGTCCCCAGGGCAGCCCCGCCCAGGCCTGCTTCAGGGGCCTGCCGCGCTCACCGAGCACTTCAGTCCTCACTAATGGCCAGTCATGGCTCCACCTGCAAAGCAAAGGCTTCCCTTCAAAGGCGCCTTCTCAGCAGACCAGGCGGAAATGTGTGGCCCAAGGCGCTGGGCAAGCACTGGACGGAGGCGCCACCCTCCCCTGGCTCTGGTTTACTGGCATATTTTGAACCAGGGCATCCACTAAACACTGGTGAGCTTGACCTCTTTTAGGGCTCATGGCACCCCTGAAAAATTCTGGGGTCTCCAACTGAGAGAAGTCAAGTGACTTGCCCAACATGACCAACACCTAAGAGGCAGGGGCTGGACAAGTCCTTGCCAGAGTCCCCAGTGTAGGCCACCTGCTCGTCACCTGGGCCCTGGGTGGTGACACACCCCGGGCTCCCCCCCAGAGGGGTTGATTCCGGTGGCCCAGGCAGCTCCAAGACAGGGAAGGCAAGGCCTACCCGGTGGCATCTCCCCCCCCCCAACCATGCTGACCCTGCTGGCTGGCCCTGCAGGTGCTGAGGCCCGACCTCACCTGGAAACTTGTGTCCTGGGATGCCACAGGGCTGGGTAGCAGTGGGACCAGGAGCCGGAGCTCGCTGCTCTCGGTCCAGAGCGGAAGTCCCATTCCCCACAGAGGGAAGGTCTGTCCCCTATGGTCCCCTCCCATGGGCCCAGCAGGCCAGCCCCCCTCCCTGTCACCCCACTGTCTCCCCATTCTGCTGCCTTCAGGCAGTTTCAGGTCCCATTTCTGCAACCCGCAGGGTTGACGAGCAGTGGGACCAGGAGCCGGAGCTCGCTGCTCTCGGTCCAGAGCGGAAGTCCCATTCCCCACAGAGGGAAGGTCTGTCCCCTATGGTCCCCTCCCATGGGCCCAGCAGGCCAGCCCCCCTCCCTGTCACCCCACTGTCTCCCCATTCTGCTGCCCTCAGGCAGTTTCAGGTCCCATTTCTGCAACCCGCAGGGTTGGCAGTAAACAGGGTTGGGTGGGTGCAAGCTGGGTTTCGCCGACTCGGCAGCTCTGGGGGCTGAGCTGGCCCGGGGAATGTCCACAGCTGGCAGCCTGCCTGCCGGACCTCCGGGCAGGGCCGTCTGTCCATGGTGACGGCGTGGCTGGCCTGTTGCCTGGATGCTGGACTCGTGTCCCGGCTCTGCCGCTCCCCGGCTGAGCGTTCTCACCAAGGGAGCGCCAGGGAGCCCCATTTTCTCTACCGTGGGGACCATAATCACACCAACCCCCGGGGAGGAGGCGCGGGTGATGGAGCCGCAGGGGGCGTGCGTGAGGGGCACACTGGGCTGGCCGGTCCTGGCGGCTCCTTCCTGGGCCGGCGTCTTCGGCACCCTTCCCATCCTGCAGCCTTGCTCGCTCCCTGCTTTTAGAAAACAACCTAATAATGAGTTTTAAATGTGCTCACTACTTCTTTACACCCCTCCCTCCACTCGTGCGGGGCTTAAAGCCGATGGCGGTCATAAGGGCTGGCAGGCTTGCTGGTGCCGCTCCTGGAAACACCCAGGTGAGGGCTGGAGGGGCCTTGGCGGTCACTGGCCCCTTCCTCTCCCTTGTTTGTGGGAAACTGAGGCCTGGAGGGCCCGTTAGCATCTATGGCTAGGCTGAAGATGGAGTCCTACGCAACCCGCCACGGCTCCTGTCCCCGGGGAGCCTCCCTTCTCCTGGGGACACTGGTGTTCGACCTCAGAGGACACCAGGGGTCACAGTGCCTGAGCGACTGCTGGAGCCCCGCCCCATGTAGGTGGCGAGCGCAGGACCTGGCCACCAGGGTGCCAGGCCTCTCCCGAAGGCGGCGTCCAAGGCCTGTGATGCCCCTTAGGGAGAGCAACCCTGCGGGGCAGCAGAAACTGGGGGCCCCTCTCGACACCTGCATTTAGGGACAGAAAGTCACGGGGCTCGTGGATGCTGCCAATGGAAGGTAAGTGTCCCTCCGCGGGCGAGGGGGAGAGAGACGCGTCTGAAAAAGGTTTCCAGGCTCAGGCGGACTGCAGGCCCAGGCTGGGCGAGGAGGGAGGGGTGTGGACTCCAAGAAGGGAATTGGTAGGTGGCGGGGCCTGGGGTCCATCTGGGGGTTCCCCAGGCCGCCTGGGCCTGGGCCTCTAATTCCTTGGGGGCTGAGGGCACTGGGAAAGATGGGTTTGACCTTGGGGTTGAGGCAATGAAGCCCGGGCAGGGAGAGTAGAGGGGGGTTCAGCACCAGCTTTGGAATCAGCCACTCCCAAGTTGAAGACCCAGGTCTGTCTCTTTCATTCCATTTTTAAAAGTGTATTTATTTATTCCATGAGAGAGAGACTTGGCGCTGCCGACGTGGTCCCCACGTCACGATGCACCCCCAGCTTCAGCCGGCCTGGATGGCAGCTGCCTGGCACACTCGAGGGGCCTCTGCACTTGAACTGTTGACCTTCCCGTTGCGTGGGCCTCGCTCGCAGGGCTGCGTTTTACACACGGCAGTCCACCCAGGGCTGCCTCTTCCTGTGCAGCCTCGGGCAATTTTCCATTTCAGTTTTCCCGTGCATAAATGGCGGTTTGGGCACCCCAGGCGTTGTGTGGGGGGCAGTGGGATGGCCCTGCATGTCCAGGGCCCAGCTAAGGGCCAGCCCTTGGCAGCTACCAATGCACACGCGGACCTGGTCCACTGACACAAGGAGAAGACCGGCTTCTCGGAGTCTGTGGACGGAGGTGCCACGCGTGGATTTGGTCTGGCTCAGGCAGTCAGGGTCTCTGGGCCCTGACCTCCGTGTGGGCCCTGCCCCGCACGCACACACAGCAGGCCTGGCACCTGTGCACCCACTGGCATCCCTGATAAAGGGGCGATCCCACAGACTGGAAAAAGCAAACTAAAAGCCCTCGCCTCCCTGTGGTCCAAAAGAGATTGCTTGCCATTTGGGGTGTCTCGTTCTGGTCCCTGCCCCACCCTACCCCTCTTTGCCTACCCCCCTTAAGTCCCACCCGCCTGCCCTCAGCACGGCAGAAAAGCTGGCATTTTCAAAGGTCTGTCTTCTGACAGGAGAGAACGACAAGGAAACAATTAAGGAAAATAAAAATGGCACAGGAATTGTCGTTTCCAAAGTACAGGTTTCTGATCTGACACCGTGGCCTACATAAACGGGGTATTGATTTTCTAAACAAAGAGAAATGAGAAGAGAGATGTCCCCCTTGCAGCATTGCTGGCTGGGCTGCTAAGCGGTTGCGGAAGGAGACTGGGATGCTAGGGCCCGAGCCCCGGGCGGCCTGAGCCAGAGGTGCCCAGACTCGGTGAGCCGGGTGGGGGCCCTTCGGCCTTGCCACCTGCTGTGTGCGCACATGTGTGTGCACAGGTCTCCCCACCTGCTGTGTGCGCACATGTGTGTGTGCACAGGTCTCCCCACCTGCTGTGTGCGCACATGTGTGTGTGCACAGGTCTCCCCACCTGCTGTGTGCGCACATGTGTGTGTGCACAGGTCTCCCCACCTGCTGTGTGCGCACATGTGTGTGTGCACAGGTCTCCCCACCTGCTGTGTGCGCACATGTGTGTGTGCACAGGTCTCCCCACCTGCTGTGTGCGCACATGTGTGTGTGCACAGGTCTCCCCACCTGCTGTGTGCGCACATGTGTGTGTGCACAGGTCTCCCCACCTGCTGTGTGCGCACATGTGTGTGTGCACAGGTCTCCCCACCTGCTGTGTGCGCACATGTGTGTGTGCACAGGTCTCCCCACCTGCTGTGTGCGCACATGTGTGTGTGCACAGGTCTCCCCACCTGCTGTGTGCGCACATGTGTGTGTGCACAGGTCTCCCCACCTGCTGTGTGCGCACATGTGTGTGTGCACAGGTCTCCCCACCTGCTGTGTGCGCACATGTGTGTGTGCACAGGTCTCCCCACCTGCTGTGTGCGCACATGTGTGTGTGCACAGGTCTCCCCACCTGCTGTGTGCGCACATGTGTGTGTGCACAGGTCTCCCCACCTGCTGTGTGCGCACATGTGTGTGTGCACAGGTCTCCCCACCTGCTGTGTGCGCACATGTGTGTGTGCACAGGTCTCCCCACCTGCTGTGTGCGCACATGTGTGTGTGCACAGGTCTCCCCACCTGCTGTGTGCGCACATGTGTGTGTGCACAGGTCTCCCCACCTGCTGTGTGCGCACATGTGTGTGTGCACAGGTCTCCCCACCTGCTGTGTGCGCACATGTGTGTGTGCACAGGTCTCCCCACCTGCTGTGTGCGCACATGTGTGTGTGCACAGGTCTCCCCACCTGCTGTGTGCGCACATGTGTGTGTGCACAGGTCTCCCCACCTGCTGTGTGCGCACATGTGTGTGTGCACAGGTCTCCCCACCTGCTGTGTGCGCACATGTGTGTGTGCACAGGTCTCCCCACCTGCTGTGTGCGCACATGTGTGTGTGCACAGGTCTCCCCACCTGCTGTGTGCGCACATGTGTGTGTGCACAGGTCTCCCCACCTGCTGTGTGCGCACATGTGTGTGTGCACAGGTCTCCCCACCTGCTGTGTGCGCACATGTGTGTGTGCACAGGTCTCCCCACCTGCTGTGTGCGCACATGTGTGTGTGCACAGGTCTCCCCACCTGCTGTGTGCGCACATGTGTGTGTGCACAGGTCTCCCCACCTGCTGTGTGCGCACATGTGTGTGTGCACAGGTCTCCCCACCTGCTGTGTGCGCACATGTGTGTGTGCACAGGTCTCCCCACCTGCTGTGTGCGCACATGTGTGTGTGCACAGGTCTCCCCACCTGCTGTGTGCGCACATGTGTGTGTGCACAGGTCTCCCCACCTGCTGTGTGCGCACATGTGTGTGTGCACAGGTCTCCCCACCTGCTGTGTGCGCACATGTGTGTGTGCACAGGTCTCCCCACCTGCTGTGTGCGCACATGTGTGTGCACAGGTCTCCCCGTCCACTTTACACGTTCCCTTTTTAAGTGCCAGGCAGGTTCCAAAGGGGCCTGTCCTCGAGGACATCCCCAGTCCAGCTGTGAGGCAGCCCAGGTGAAGCGAGTCAGTGTAGGACAGCGTGTCGTGGGCCACGTGCCCCAGAGTCACTTGCAGGCCACCCACTCACCATAGCCCACTCACCAACCTTCCCACGCACCCTCAGACGGCCGCGGGCCCAGAATCCGGTGTGGTGTTTTCTTAACACTGTAGGTGTTTCACTCATCACCGGCTTTGGGAAGCTGGGCTCTCGGGAGTCCTGAATTTGGGGCCCAGTCTCCGGAAGGCACTATGGGGCATGGCAGAAGCGGAAGGCGCCGTGGAGGAGCCGGTCCTGACGGTTGGGTAGGTCCTGCCTGTGCCGACGGCTGTGTGAGGCCTGGGGCTCTGCAGGCTGAAGGGGCAGCACGGGCAAAGGCCCTGGGGTGGGAGCCGCCTCTTTCAGGAACAAGGGAGCCACAGGACATGGAGGTGGTGGGGGCTCAGCTCAACTGCTGCTCCTACGGCCCTTGGTCGGCTGGGCCTCGGGGGCTCCGTGGGGCTTTGTGGAAGCAGCCGTGATCCCAGCCGGGTCAGGTCAGCCTCTCCCAGCCTGAGTTGGCAGGAGTCCCCCTGGGCTCTAGGTTCTACCCTGAAGTCTTTGCCCCTGAGCCAGCACGCAGTAGGTTTCCCTGGCCTCTCACACGGATCCTGACAGCGGGGCCACCTGTCAGTACCGGCACAGTCCACACTCATGTCTGGGCAGAAGTTCTCGCTATTCGGGGTGACTCAGACATTGGGGGGCAGTTTTGCACTCTCTCTTGCTCCCTCTCCCACCTGCCCATCCAGGGCACAAGCTCCTTACACATCCGCTCACACTGGCTGACCCGAGTCAGACCCCACTTTGGCAAGTGCTCCTGAAGTTCAGCGGAGGCTGGGCGCTCGGACACCGTTAAAGGCTGTGGTGCCTCTCCTGTAGACGAGGGACGGCAGCTGGCCACACGGGGCAGCCTGCGACCACATGGGGCATTTCTCTCCCACCAGCTTAACGGTGCTTAGTATCTGAACGCTGGCCGCCAGACTTCACTGAGCACCAACTAGCTGCCCAGAGCCCAGAGCCCAGAGCCCAGAGACAGCTGCAGCAGGGCAGAGTTGACAATCCAAAGTGCAAAGCACTGGCCCTGAGGAACCTGAGCCACACATATTGATTGACTGAATTCTTTATTGGTGTCTCTCCTAGCCTCTTCCAAGACCCAGAGAAAATAAATGCAAATACCAGAAGGTACTGTTTAAGAGAAGGGAGAGGACTCATGGGGCAGGGGAGTAGTCAGGGTGGGCTTCCTGGAGGAAGGGGAAGAATGGTCCGAGCAGGGATGCCGAGGCTGATGGGCATGGCAGGTCCATGCAGGGAAACGGAAGGACTGGAGCAGGCCTGGCGCTTAGTCAGGGAAGAGCAGGAAGCCGGAGAAGACGCTGTCGGAGCCCTCCACGCCCACCATGCCGTTGTAGTCGTTGACGGCCAGCCACACCTCCTCGCCCGCCTGCAGCTGCAGCAGCACACCGCCCGAGCTGACCTGCTTGCTGTTGGACATGTGGTCGCAGAAGGTGGTCACCTTGACGCCGCTGCGGTGCAAGTTCACGCAGAGGTTGGCCGTCTGCGACGTGTGGTGGACAAAATAGTAGAGGCCGGGGACCCGGCAGGTGAACTTGCCCGTGCTCGTGTCGTAGTGCCCCTGCGGGTTGGTGACGACCGTGTTGAACTTGACCAGGCTGTTGGGTGCCGGGAACTGGGCGGTCTGCCGGGTGACCGTGAACACCGACTGGTGCTTCTGCTTGTACCTGCCCTCCTCGCCTGGCTCGCCAGGGGGGCCCGTGAGGCCGGGAAGGCCCGGCAGACCTGCAGGTCCCATGGGGCCGTTTTTCCCGGGATGGCCAGGTAGGCCAGGTTCTCCCTTCCGACCCTTGGGTCCTCGTGTCCCTGGAATAGCCGGGATTCCTGGGGAGAGAGGAGCAGGCAGGAAGTGAGCTGAGGGCCAGGTGAGCAGGCCCCGAGGGTGTGCTCCAGGAAACACCAGTCTGGTCTCCCGAATCTCCTTCCCACAGAGGACCAGTGCCCTGGGAGCAGTGCGGCCAGAGGAGGGGAGATCCTGGTTCGGGTCCTGCTCCCCCATGGACTTGCCCTCGCCCTCTGACCTTGTGGAAGGCACTCCCCTGTCTTGGCCCAGTTACCACACATGCGGTGGAGAGGTGGAGGCAGCAGCCCCAGGAAGCATCAGCGCTGGGCTCAGAGGGCGTCAGCCCCAGACGGCCGCACGCGGCCACAGATGCCCGCTGAGAAGCCTGCACTGTGTCGAAAGTTTGTTTCTTCCATGAGAGAGAGAGAAAGAGAGTCGGGCTCCCTGGCAGCACCTTCACGTCCTGAGCCAGCCCTGCTCTGCCGGCTTGCACGCTCGGCAAGTCAGGGAGGTCTCGGGATGCGAACCCAGAACCTTCCCATGTGGTCGGCCTCCCAGAGCACTGAGTTCCCGACTCATCCCCATCCTGCCCCTTGGCCTGCATGATGTGCTTACATTTGAAAATTCGAGCTTGATATTAAGAAATTCAGAACTTGTAGCCAGCAGGTGGCATGGCGATTAAGGCACCTAGATTCCACGTGGCCAACCTCACGTTCGAGTCCTGGACCCAGTGGCTTGAAGAACACACCGGATGCATGTGCTCAAAAAATCCCAAGAGGCGAATGGAGAAGAGATTGTGGCATGGCCTTCCCCCTGGAGGTGATTTCTCACTTTCCTTCACTCGCTGTCCCTCTCCAGCATGTGCACCTGTACACTACAGCAAAAACTAAAAAGATAAAATTTAAAAATAGAAAAACTTCAGAACTCATGTCAAAGTCCAGTTCTTAGCTTTTCTTGACAAAACGTAGGTTGATGAGAGGCAGGTCTTCCTGAAGCTCGTGTAGCTTAAGCTTCAGGTTCTGTAAACCTACATTAGCCCCTCCAAGGCCTTTTTTCTAATTTTGCATTTATAATTCTCTTTGGCTTTTCATTTTGAAATAATAAAGTAAGAAGTGGGAGGGAAGGGCAGAGGGGCCCTACGTACTCTTCGTGGAGTTTTCCCAGGGGTGCAGCCTGCATAGCTGAAGTACGGAATCAAAGGCAGCCAGCTGACGTCCGTATAATGCAGGGCTTACTCAGCCTCGCCGGCTGTACGTGCACTGTGTGTGTGTGTGCGCGCGCTCAGCTATGTGTGTGTGTGGTGCGGGTGTAGGTGTGTGTGGTGTGTGTGTGCGTGCAGCTATGTGTGTGGTGCGGGTGTAGGTGTGTGTGCAGGTGTGTGTGTGCTGTGTGGTGTGTGTGTGTGCAGCTATTTGTGTGTGGTGTGGATGTAGGTGTGTAGGTGTGTGGTATATGTATAGGTGTGTGTGGTATGTGTGGTGTGCATGTGTGTGGTGTGTATGTGTGTGTGGGTGTAGGTGTGTGTGGTGTCTGTGTGTGTAGGTGTGTGGTGTATGTATAGGTGTGTGGTGTGTGTGGTGTGCACATGAGTGTGGGTGTAGGTGTGTGTGGTGTCTGTGTGTGTAGGTGTGTGGTATATGTATAGGTGTGTGTGGTATGTGTGGTGTGCATGTGTGTGGTGTGTATGTGTGTGTGGGTGTGTGGTGTATATATAGGTGTGTGTGGTGTGTGTGTGTGTAGGTATGTGGTGTATGTATAGGTGTGTGTGGTGTGCATGCGTATGGTGTGTGTGTTGTGTGTGGGTGTAGGTGTGTGTGGTGTCTGTGTGTGTAGGTGTGTGGTATATGTATAGGTGTGTGTGGTGTGTGTGGTGTGTGTGGTGTGTGTGGATTTAGGTGTATGTGGTGTGTGTGGGTGTAGGTGTGTGTGGTGTCTGTGTGTGTAGGTGTGTGGTATATGTATAGGTGTGTGTGGTGTGTGTGGTGTGTGTGGTGTGTGTGGATTTAGGTGTATGTGGTGTGTGTGGGTGTAGGTGTGTGTGGTGTCTGTGTGTGTAGGTGTGTGGTATATGTATAGGTGTGTGTGGTGTGTGTGGTGTGTGTGGTGTGTGTGGATTTAGGTGTATGTGGTGTGTGTGGGTGTAGGTGTGTGTGGTGTCTGTGTGTGTAGGTGTGTGGTATATGTATAGGTGTGTGTGGTGTGTGTGGTGTGTGTGGTGTGTGTGGATTTAGGTGTATGTGGTGTGTGTGGGTGTAGGTGTGTGTGGTGTCTGTGTGTGTAGGTGTGTGGTATATGTATAGGTGTGTGTGGTGTGTGTGGTGTGTGTGGTGTGTGTGGATTTAGGTGTATGTGGTGTGTGTGGGTGTAGGTGTGTGTGGTGTCTGTGTGTGTAGGTGTGTGGTATATGTATAGGTGTGTGTGGTGTGTGTGGTGTGTGTGGTGTGTGTGGATTTAGGTGTATGTGGTGTGTGTGGGTGTAGGTGTGTGTGGTGTCTGTGTGTGTAGGTGTGTGGTATATGTATAGGTGTGTGTGGTGTGTGTGGTGTGTGTGGTGTGTGTGGATTTAGGTGTATGTGGTGTGTGTGGGTGTAGGTGTGTGTGGTGTCTGTGTGTGTAGGTGTGTGGTATATGTATAGGTGTGTGTGGTGTGTGTGGTGTGTGTGGTGTGTGTGGATTTAGGTGTATGTGGTGTGTGTGGGTGTAGGTGTGTGTGGTGTCTGTGTGTGTAGGTGTGTGGTATATGTATAGGTGTGTGTGGTGTGTGTGGTGTGTGTGGTGTGTGTGGATTTAGGTGTATGTGGTGTGTGTGGGTGTAGGTGTGTGTGGTGTCTGTGTGTGTAGGTGTGTGGTATATGTATAGGTGTGTGTGGTGTGTGTGGTGTGTGTGGTGTGTGTGGATTTAGGTGTGTGTGGTGTGTGTGGGTGTACGTGTGTGTGTCGTGTCTGTGTATGTAGGTGTGTGGTGTATGTATAGGTGTGTGTGGCATGCATGTGTATGGTGCGGGTGGTGTGTGTAGGTGTGTGTGTCGTGTCTGTATGTGTAGGTGTGCATGCAGCTCTAACCCAGTTTGATCACATGTGGACACTGGCCGTCATCCCGCCCCCTCAATCAGGTGCATCTACCGTTTTGTATTACTTTTCTTATCTTTCCTCAGTATTTCACAAGCTCCGAGCTCCCCCCGCCCAAACCTGTACCCATCCCTGAGAGAGGCACCTAGGCCAGCCTTAACCGGAAGCCGCTGGTTGGAGCATGTGGCCTCCACTGAGGGGAGGGCTGCATCTCCAGCTCGCCCCACCCACTCAACTTGGGCCCCTGGGACGGTTGACCTGGTTCAGCTTCCCTCTTGCCCAAAGCCACACGGCCAGGTCGAGGTTGAGTGAGGACTCACATTCCAGTCTGGCTGAATTCCAGTCAGAGAGTCTGGCCTGGGTCCAGCCCAGTGAGCTGAGCCTCTGTGAGATTCTTCTTCCTTCACCCAGAGCATACCCATCTTTTAAGGCCCAGCCCCAGGTACCTCCCCCAGGAAGCCCTCCGTGACCATAGGATCCCACTGTCTGACCTTGGGCAAGTCACCCATTTCTCCGAACCCTGGCTGTGACATTTGCAGCACAGGATGGAATCACTTTAGAGGATTTTGGCCTTGGTTTTCTCATGTGTGGAATGGAGCTAGCGATCCTAGCTACTCCGTGTGATCCCAGCTGCTCCATGTGATCCTGGCTGCTCTGCGAGATCCTATACTCCTTGAGATCCTGGCTACTCATGAGATCCTAGCTGCTCCACGAGGTCTTAGCTGCCCTGTGAGATCCTAGCTGCCCTGTGAGATCCCAGCTGCTCTGTGAGATCCTAGCTACTCCATGAGATCCCAGCTGCTCCATGAGGTCTTAGCTGTTCTGTGAGATCCCAGTTGCTCTGTGAGATCCTAGCTGCTCCATGAGGTCTTAGCTGCCCTGTGAGATCCTAGCTACTCCATGAGATCCCAGCTGCTCCATGAGGTCTTAGCAGCTCTGTGAGATCCCAGCTGCTCCGTGAAATCCTAGCTACTCCATGAGGTCTTAGCTGCTCTGTGAGATCCCGGCTGCTCCGTGAGATCCCAGCTGCTCTGTGAGATCCCAGCTGCTCCGTGAGATCCCGGCTGCTCTGCATATACAGAGCGTCTGGACGTGGGCCTGGCACACAGGAGCTCAGTAATGGGCAAGATAATAACCAGGGAGAACCCACCCCCCACAGCTATGGAGTAGAGGGTCCCCCCAAACGGCAGGCCTGAACTGGAGACTCCACTGCAGTGGTGGTAAGACTCCACTCTGCTGGGAGAAGTGACTGCGGGGAAACACCTAAGGACGGTCTCCACCGGCCTCCCCTCCCACGGCCTCTGCCACCCCGTCTCCTCCGCTAAGCCCACACCAGCCTCACTCGGGAGGGCTCCAGCCTCTTCACTCATGAGGGCCACACACGCCGCAGCCCGGCTTGGCCCCAACACCATCTCTGCTCACGGCCCGACCTCCTTCTCAGGCTAGGGCTCACCCTGGATTCCTATGCAGGTTCCCTGGCCACAGTCCCTCCAGCTGCCCAGAGCCCTAGGGCGGGAGGCGAGTATGGCAGGCAGGAGGGGGTTTCTGCTGAGAACAGGGACAGCTGCCCACCCCAGGAGCAGCCGCAGGCTCCACACTGACTTGTACCTCACTCAGGCCACCCGCTCTGCGCCCCAAGGTCGGCACCACCCCTCCCCACCTCAGAGGCGAGGACAAGGCACCCCGAATGTTGGGCTGGGCTTGACCCTGGCAGCTGTGCGTTGGGTATGTCCCTCATGCCACCCCATCGGGGCCCAGCGTTAACATGCTCCCTTCCACGCTCCCACTAGCAGAGGAGGGAATGAGGGGTGAGGGGCACGCCGGCTCACCACCCCCAGGAGGCTGGAACCTGGGCGCTGAGAAGACAGGAGGGGACACCCTTCCTGCCGGGGGTTTCTGTCCCCTGTCCCTTGGCCAGCCCTGCCCCAGACCCCTCCCCCGCCCCAGCACACTCACCGGGCTCCCCCCTGGGCCCTGGCAGCCCCTCCTGCCCGTCCTTCCCCGGTGCCCCGGGCAGGCCGGGCATCCCTGGGATCCCGTAGCAGCTGGTGTCGGCCAGGCAGCCAAGTGGCAGGAGCAGCAGGAGTAGCAGGGCCCCTCCAGGGGGGTGCTGGGAGCCGGGCCTCATGTCGGTCCTGGGAACAGCTGGTGGGGCGCCTCCCTCCCCCCCCCGCGGAGCCCCCCCCTGCCCCAGCCGCACACTCGGACCCAGGACAGCCGGATGGGGGGACAAGCCAGGCTGTCCCTGGTGCTGTGCTCAGGAAGAACCTGTCCTTGGCCCTCCCCCAGGCAGGGGTCCCGGCCTCACCTGGGGGCGGGAGGTCTCTGGCCTGGTCACAGTGATGTCCTCAGACCTGCTTCCCCTCTCCCGCAGGAGGACGCCGTGTTGGAGTGGACGGAACAAGAGCGGCCCAGAGCAGGGCTGGGCGCCCCCTCCTCCCCACCCCTTCCCACATCCCCTTTCCCAGAACTTTTCCTGACTTGACACTTTCTGGTCAGCTGAACCAGGCCGACCACAGTGACGGCCCTGTCCACCCTCCCGTGTGGGTCAGGAGTGTCTGAAATGAGGAAATGTCCACTGCCCTGGCAGCTGGCCAAGCGGGGGGGGCTCGGGGTGTGTACGCGTGAACGTGAGCCCCAGGGCAGAGGCGCCCCGCGGCAGGCTCGGCCTCTCCTAGGTGCCCTGTTTTGGGTGTGTCTGTGCCAAGACTCAGCTGGCTCACGCATGCCTAGAGGAGGCCCTGCCCCTGCAGGTGGGGATGCTGAGGCCCAGGGAGTGAGTCTTGTCCGAAGCCACACGCTGAGTGGTCCCTCGGGGTCCTAAGTCTTGTAACACCCTGCCCCGCCACCCAGAAACAGGCCTCACACGCACTTGCCAAGTGGCAGGTCTTACTCTAGAAACTTCTGATGGCCCCTCCTAGCTGCCCCCATGGAGGTGGGCCCCTGGATGGCCACAGTGCATGGACATGGAGCTTCTCCTGCAGCCCTGCCACTGCTGGCTCTAAGGCCTTCACCCAACCATCCGCCCCTCTGGGCCTGGGTCTTCCCTCCGAGTACTGGATGGATGGGAGTGCTGCACGTCCGGACCTCGTCCTGGGCCGGACCTGGGTCTCCTCTGACTGTCCCTCTTCTCCTGCCAGCACCACCTTCTTCAACAGGATCTCGGCACCCTGCCTCTGGACTTGCGCTGGCCCTGGCTGGGGGTGGGT